ACCTGCACTCAGAATTTGCTTTTACTATAAAAACAATTCTAACAAACATGTTTGTCTTTTCTCAACCAAAACAAATTAGGAGTTGCCAGTTGTAAAGGGCAGGTTTACTGGAGGCAAACTGATATGAGTGAGAAGTGACTGCTGACAACACAATGGAGGAGGGATAAAAAGTAGATGCAGAGGGGTCCATGTGGTTCAGAAGCAAACAGGCTTACATGTGGCGACTCTGAGTCATGAAGAAGCTAAATTGTGATTTATAACGCTCTGTTTATTCTCCCACAGACTCGGCCAACAATGCTGGGCCTTTTTAACAAAGGCTTTGGAGACGCAGGGCCTTGGGCCTACAAGCCTTTCAGGGGCCTATGAAAATGAAATAGTTAGTCTATAGCTGCAAAATCAAAGTTAATGAATATTTAATCAAACATCTACAAAATTATAACATCTCATCAACTCTATTAATTGCTAAAATTGGTATTCATAAAATATTGATGAAGTAAATAATTTGTAGGTCTGATTTTCTCACTACATAAGAATAACTGACTATATATGAAATTTGTAGAAAAATCATGGACAAATGTAAATTAAAAGTTTTCCATGGCTAAATAATTTTAAAAGCAATATTATAAAATGCTTCTACAAATGTACAATAAAAAGTCTCTATTATTCTCATGGGCTGTGGGTACATTTTAATGTGTTTGATATGATGTTAGCTGGGGCTAGTGCAGGCTTAGTCAACTGGCCTGCGGCTCTGCTCCCCTCCTGCTCAAGGCTTCCCTCCGTGCCTTTTGGAACTCCACTCCATGGAAAATCAACTCCTCTTCACCCTTAATCTAGCACAGAGTGCTTCCTCTGTGCTCCCCAGCACCCATCCCTGGTGGAGCCTGGGCCTTCTCCCACGCCAGCCCTAGGGGAGCACTTAGGGTTGGGCCCTCCTCACCTGGCTTCCAAACACTGCCCTTCTAGTCAGGTGTACAAATCTCTGCTTCTTCAAGACTCAGGCCATCCCACCTTGTCATCCTCTGCCTCCCCTCAAGGTAGTTGTCACCTCCTGATCATTCTTCCTTCTTAACTGAAAATTTGAGCACCTTCCTTTCTGCTCACCCCAAATTCTGACCTCATCCTGGACTTCACTTTACAAAACATTGATATCTGCACTCAATCTCACCTCCTTCCCTCTGACCCCAATGGAACAGGCTTTCCTCTACCTGTCTAGCTAATCCCTACAACTCAGGGAGCCCTGCAGGTGCTCTCTGCCCCTCCCCCTCTTGAGTACTTCACCACTCAGCTCAGTCATCCCTCTACTCTCAAGCCTTCTCAGTACTCCCTATCATCACATTAAAATATTTTTTTAATTGAGATATGATTTATGTACTATAAAATTCACCCTATTAAAGCATATAATTCAGTGGTTTTTAGAGTATTCTCAAGGTTGTACAACCATCACCACTTTTCTAGAACATTTTCATCACCCCAAATAGAAACCTTGTACTATTAACAATCATTCCCCTTTTCCCACTTCTTCCCCAGCCCCTGCCAACCACTAATCTTTCTGTCTCTACGAATTTGCCTATTCTGGACATTTCATATAAATGGAATCCCACAATATGTTGCCTTTTGTGTCTGGTTTCCCTTCACTTAACATAATATTTTCATGGTTCATCCATGTTGCAGTATGTATCAGTGCTTCATTCCTTTTTATGGTTGAACAATATTCCATTGTATGGACATACAAAATTGTGGACTAAATATTTGTGTCCTCTCCCCTCCAAATTTACATGTTGAAGTCCTAACCCCCAATGTGATGGTATTAGGAGGTGGGACCTTTGGGAGGTACTTAGGTTTAGATTAGGTCATGAGGGTAGAGCCCTCATGATGGGGTTAGTGCCCTCATAAGAAAAAGAAGAAACACCAGAGCTCCCTCTCTCCCCCACTGAGGATATAGCAAGAAGGTGGCTGTCTGCAAGCCAGGAAGAGGGCTCTCACAGGACACCGAACCTGCCAGCAGCTTGATTTTGGACTTCTCAATCTCCAGCACTGTTAGATATAAATTCCTGTTGTTTAAGCTTCAGTCTGTGGGATCTTCTTATGGCAGCCTGAGCTAACTAATACATACCACATTTTGTTTACCATTGGTTGATGGACATTTGGGTGGTTTCCACTTTTTGGCTATTATGAACAATCTTCTTATGCACATTGTTTGAGTTCTTGTGTGAACATATGTTTTCATTTCTCTTGGGTTACACCTAGGAGTGGAATTGCTGGGTCATATGGTAACTCTATGTTTAACTTTTTTTTTTTTTGGCGAGCAAGATTGGCCCTGAGCTAACAACTGTTGCCAATCTTCCTCTTTTTGCTTGAGGAAGATTGTCACTGAGCTAACATCTGTGCCAATCTTCCTCTATTTTGTATGTGGGACACTGCCACAGCATGGCTTGATGAGTGGTATGTAGGTCTGCACCCAGGATCTGAACCCACAAACCCCGGGCCGCCAAAGGGGAGCATGCAAAATTAACCACTATGCCACCAGGCTGGCCCCTATGTCTAACTTTGTGAAGAATGAAGAAAGAGTTTCCTAATATGGCTGCATTATTTTACATTCCTACCAGCAATGTATGAGGGTTCCAATTTCTCCACATTCTTGCTAACACTTGTCATTGTCTGTCTTGTTGATTACAGTCATCCTAGTAGGTGTGAAGTGGTATCTCATTGTGGTTTTTCTTTCCTTTTTTTTTTAAATTTAAAGATCTAATTGGCTTTATTCAGTGATTCATGAATCAGGCAGCATCCCACCTAGCAAGTAGATAGGAGCTTCCTCATTGTGGGTTTTTTTTTTTTTTTTTTGGGAGGAGGACTAGCCCTGAGCTAACATCTGATGCCAATCCTCTCCGTTTTTCTTGAGGAAGATTGGCCCTGAGCTAACATTTATGACCATCTTCCTCTGCTTTATATGGGACGCCACCACAGCATGGCTTAACAAGCGGTGCATCGGTGTGCGCCCGGGATCTGAACCGGAGAACCCCAGGCCGCTGCAGCGGAGCACACGCACTTAACCGCTTGTGCCACCGGGCCGGCCCCCTTCATTGTGGTTTTGATTTGCATTTCCCTGAGGAATAATGATGTTGAGCATCTTTTCAGTGGCTTATTGGCCATTTGTTTATCTTCCTGGGAGAAATGTCTATTCATATCCTTTGCCCATTGGGTTAAAATTGGGTTATCTTTTTACTGTTGAGATGTCTATCATCATTTAAAGATGCTCAAGTCTCTACCATTTTAAAGCAAACAAACCCTTGGCTTCGCTGGATCCCTGCTGTAGCCACTGTTTCTTGCAGAATTTTTTGAAAGAGTTCTCTAACACTTGTGGTTTCCACTCACTTTCTTTTCAAGCAATTGGAATCTGGCTTCTGAACCCAACACTTCAATGCAACTGCTCTCAGCAAGGTCACCAATGGCTGTTTTGTTACTAAATTAGATGGGCACTTTTCAATTCTTAGCTTGTTTGATTTCTCTGTGGTATTTAACTCCAAGTCCCTCTCCATCTTTATTGAAAGACTAGAGATTCTTGGCTCTCATGACAGCACATGCTTCTGATTGTTCTCATACATCTCTGGCTGCTCCTTAGTTTTCTCAATGGGCTTCTCTTATTCTGCTCATTCTTAAGTGTTGATCTTCTTCCAGATTTTGTCTCTCAGTCCTCTTATTTTGCACCTTTACATGGTTTCACTGGGCAATCACATTCACTCCCATGGCTTCAATTACCACTTACCACTGCTCACTCCAAATCTCATCTCTGTCTGCTGCCTAGACCACCCTCCTGGGCTCCTGGTTTGTATATCTGTCCAATCAAAATCTGTACTGGAACCCCCATCCATCCTGCAACTTTCCATGCCCCAAACCAAACGTTTTATCTTAACCTCTCTGGCCTTCCCTAACTCAGTGAGTAACATCAATTACTGAATTCTGTAGATATAAAATTTTTAAAGTCACTCACATTTGCCTATTTCCTTCCATCCCTGACACTTGTGCCCTAGTCCAGTACCATTTAACAAGATGACCCCAACATCCTCCTGACTGGTCTCCCAGCTCCACTCTCGTCTCCAAACTGTCCTCAGAGATCTTTCTAACACTCAAATCTCACCATGTCATTCCTCTGCTTACACGAGCTACTGTAAGAGATGGGATTACACCTGCTTTGGAGCCAGACAAGCTAGGGTTTCAATGTTAATATCACTCACCGGCTGCAGAACTGTGGGAAGAGTTATTTAACTTCTCCCTATTTTAGTCTTCTTGTTTAAAAAAAAAAAAAGAGCCACGAAAGTACCATGTCCTGGGTCTTCCTGAGAATTCAGAGTATGCACCATTGATGCCCTTGGTTCAGAGTCGGGCACATTTCAAGCGCTCAATATGTTCTAACTACTATTTTTATTAAAACCTTTCAGTAGAGGCAAATCAACCTCAGTTTCACTCTAAACTGTAGTGATTAAATGGAATGACCTTAATAAACTCTTAAGGCAAGGCTCCTTTGGACACTGAAGCCTGGTAATCAGTTGCAGCTCCACTCCGTGCTGGTCACTCAGCGTCAGCGTTCAAAAGCACTCCGGAGCGGAGGCAGCAGCGTGCGGCCGGCGTTCCGAAATGAGGACCCAGAACCGGGATCGGCGCCGCAGCCCCGGTCCCTCTGAGGCGCGGCTGCAGGAAAGCGCTGACCGAGGTCTTCTTCTCCGCCGCCGCCTGTCACCCCGGCGACAGTCCCCGCCGCCCCTTCGCCCCGCGGCCAAGCTCACCGGACCTGCAGCCATAGGACCCTAGAGTCTTTCGAGCAAACCCCACACCACCAAAGCGCACGCCACAGGAGCCGTCCCCGCCCGGTCGCTTCCTCCGGTCCCCGACCGCACCGGGCCGGCGCCCAGCCCACCCTGCAGGCCCCGCGCGGCGGCGGCTCCGGCCGGTCTGTAGGTGCGGCCCCGCCGCGGCTCTGCCGCCCTCCCGGGCCCGGCGCTCACCTTGAAGGACATCCTGCATCTGTCCGCGGTCCCGCTGGACCGCGCTCTTCCGGCCCGGCCGCCCGGCGCAACCCTCCCTCCCCTCTGCCGCCGCCTGCCGCAGAGGGGCCGCCTCCCGCCGCCGCGCTCCCAGCGCCGCCCGCCCGCTCGGGCCGGGAGCGGGGGAGGGGGGAAGGGGGGAAGGGGAGGGCGCGCGCGCGGGGAGGGGGGGACGGGGGCACGGACGCCTACCCTCCGCGTACCCCCTCACGCACTCCAACTCCACACGCGCTGTGCACACTCTCCACACACACACCACTCCACACTCACGCCCTCACATCCGCACTCCTCACTCCTGCACGCTCACTCTCACGCACACTCCAAACTCTGGGCGCACTACACTGTGCACACTCTCGACACACACATCACTCCACACTCACGCCCTCACAACCGCACTCCTCACACACCCACACTCTCATACGCACACTCCACGCACATCCACATTCCTGTTACACACACACCCACACACACTCCAAACTCCACACACATTGTGCATTCTCCACATTCCACACACACAGGGGCACACACAATACTCCCACACTCACATCCACATATACACACACACCCACACCCACACCCACATCTTCCAAAAGAGCGTGGTCTGCATCAGATGACTCTCAGCCTTCATTATAGCACAAATATGGTGATGATGTAAATGAAACCCGAGAAAAAAATTCACCCATCATCCCGCCACCCTTTCAAATAGCTGTTTTCATTTGTATTTCTTTCTTGGTTTTCTTTTCTTTCTCTTCCTTTTCTTTTCTAAGAATCTGGGGGCAGGGGCATTTTCCCCTCCTGGGGAAAGAGCTGAGAAACAAGTCTTTAGATTGAACCAGTAATAAGTGGTATTTTCCTTTTTGAAGGTGAAGGGCAAAATCTGAACTATACTCATAGCCCTCCTCCTTTTAACTACGGGTCGCCTCCTCCTCTTGGCTTCATGCTGCATGCCTGGAGGCTCGCAGGAGCTGTCCACTCCCTCACACAAACTGCTTGCTGCCTGCCCAGGGTTGGTTTGGGGGAAGTAAAAGTGGGAGAGCCATATTTTTTTTTAATTACAAAAATACATTTTTAAAGTATAAAAGGCAGTAATAGCCTTTCTAGAAAATTCAAATGCTAAAGTAAAAGCGGACGGCTCACACTATAGGAATCCACTCGTTCTCTCCCTCACCCGGTTTGTGCCTCCTTCTTTCTCAATTGAATTTGTAATGAATATTTAATTTAAAAATTAAAAAAACACTACAAATAAAAATTCATAATGAAAATAAAAATGTTTATCCTTTATGGATAAATTGTATTACTTTATGTTTAAAACAATTTTAAAATAAAAACATTCCAAAATTTGATAGAAAATTTCAATTTTTAAATCAAGAAAGACTCAAAACTTTTTCTTGCCTTGGGTGTCTGTGGATGAAAGAATTTCAAAGTTGCCACACAACATTATTATATAAGATCAAGCATCGGAGGTTTTACTTTTATAGTTTTGATAAACAAAAGGAGGGAAGGGAAAGAATTAATATTTTGAGTGCTATCTATGTACCAGGTGCTTTCCTTCTAAAAATCCTATGAGGTGGGTATTATGCCCCTTCCACAGCTGAAAAAACTAAGGTTCTGAGAGATGAAGTAATTTGCTAATGAGTGATCCCGCTAGACATTTAAAGAAGTCTGTCTGGCTCCAAAGCCTGTCTCCTAACAATACTTGTCTTCCTGAAGAGAAAAATAAAAACAAAAATTTGAACTCACAAGTTGAATAATTTTTTTTCTTTGAGAAACAACCTCTTGTCTTGATGTTGGTAATAAAAAAAAAAGAAATAGTCTTAAAACACTAGGGAAAGAGTCTAATTGTCAGGGCTCTCAAAATGACATGTAAGAATTTAATTCTGAGGCCAGCCCGGTGGTGTAGTGGTTAAGTTTGCGGGCTCTGCTTTGGTGGCCTGGGGGTTCGTGGGTTCGCATCCCGGGCACAAACATAACACACTGTTTATCAAAGCCATGTGTGGCAGATGTCCCACGTATAAAGTAGAGGAAGATGGGCGCAGATGTTAGCCCAGGGCCAATCTTCCTCAGCAAAAAGAAGAGGATTGGCTACAGATGTTAGCTCAGGGCTAATCTTCCTCACCAAAAAAAAAAAAATAAAAATAAATAAATAAATAAATAAATAAATAAAAACAAAAATAAAAACAGGAATCAGTAGGACAACTGTGCCCTGAGATGGCCGGTGAGAGCCCTGCTCAGATGTGCAGGTTCAGGGCTGGTGCCCGGTCACACAGCAAGAGGGTCCACACTTCAGATAGCTCCAGAGGCCCATCCCGACCTCAGGGAGTTGAGGTAGTTGCCTGAGCAGGATCTAAGACAGGCTCAGGGAGTCCAAATAGATGCACGCTACTATTGAGCACACTGAAGAAAGTAATGCCGTCCTTCTGTTCTGACCCCCAGAGGCAGACCACTTGGCCCCTTATGGGGTCTGGGTCTGACAGGTTTTGGTATCTAAAGTATTTGCATTGAATGCCAAGGCCATGCCCTCTCAGAAGAATATGAGGCTTAGAGGGAAGTCCTCAAGACTTTGGTCTGGAGTTTGGCTGACTTCTCTGTAGAAAGTGTTTTTTCCATATTCCAGGCCCCCCTTGACTGAGCAGGAGTCTCTTCTTAAGGAATATGGAGAGGGAGAATGGTTTTCTTTCCTGCTTTCAGCTATAGCACCTCCCCAAGGCCTGGCCTCAAGCCACGGGACAGTGGGCTGGCTGGCTTACTCCTGGCAGCTGGTTCCTAGCCGTCTTCATACTTACAAACCCATGTTCTCCATGGGCAAGGAGATCTCTCTCTCAAGGAGAAACAGCTCCTTGTCCTTGCTCATCTCCTGAGCGTGGGAACAAAGACTCTGAGGCATGCACACAGTGGGCATTGAAAGTAGAGAGTCAGCTACAGCTCGTATACAAAAGTAGCACAATACGTATGTTACTAATATAGTTAATATTTATTGGGGCCAGCACTTTCACGGCAATAACTCATTTTCTTCTCCTAACACTCTTACTAGTGTTAGTACTACTAACACTAATAGTACTTACATAATAATAGTAAGTACTATTATTATGCCCTTGGTATACCTGGGGAAACTGAGGGACACAAGGCTAAGCAGCTCGCCCACAGTCCCACAGCTAGTGAGCCACAGAGCCAAGGTGTGCATGCAGGCAGTTGTCTCCAGGGCCGGCTCTCACCTCCATGGCTCCCAGACTCTAGCACTTGTATCTGAGGAGGAAGGGGTGGAGCTAATGCTCCCTTGCTGCACAACTTACTATAAAACTTAGCAAAGTTCTCTCATTCACTAAACCAGACAAGGATACAGCATCCTCACTATTGCGAGTTATCAGAAGTAAACTTATGAGTCAAAGGATGACACAAAATGCACACATTTGACAGGATTTAAAAAACACTTCCGTAAAGGAGAAAGTGAAAAAAGCGTTTATTTAGCTAATTCTCCAATGATAGCTCAAAAAGAAGGTTAAAATATGTTGACAGAGTTTCAAATATTTGAAGACCTAACAGCAACAGTAAACTGCAGCGAGCTGATGACTATATGGTGTTTCCCGCTAATGATTACGAGGAGTATCTGAGTTTTACAGAGCGAGAGGCATCTCTGAGTTTTACTGCTGTGGCCAGTGTGGCAGGGTGGTTACAAATCAGACACACTTGGAATTGCCCAAGGCTCTGCCAAGTGCTATGTATGTCACCTTGGGCAAGTTTCCCAACACATGGGTCCTTAAGTGATTACTGATCAAGCACCAACCATGTGCATGAGTTATCTCGTTTAGTCTTCATGCTTCCCCCATGAAGTCCACATTATCATCATCATCACATTTCACTTATGCAAACTGAGTTCAGAGAGGTTCAGTAACTCATCTAAATTTACACTGCTACCAAGTAGGAGCTGGGATGTGAACCCAGGTTTGTAAATTTTAAAGCCCAAGTGACTGTCCCTTATCATTCTTTGACACTTTCTTCCTACAAAATAAAAAATTGGGTGGCTGCCAGGTGGCGCAGTGGTTAAGTGCGCGTGCTCTGCTTCAGCGCGTGCTCTGCTTCAGTAGCCTAGGGTCCGCAGGTTCGGATCCTGGGTGTGCACCGATGCACCGCTTGTCAAGCCATGCTATGGCGCTGTCCCATATAAAGTAGAGGAAGATGGGCACGGATGTTAGCCCAGGGCCAATCTTCCTCAGCAAAAAGAGGAGGATTGACATCGGACGTTAGCTCAGGGCTGGTCTTCCTCACAGACAAACAAACAAACAAAAAAATTGGTACCTACATTGCCCGCCTTCCTTTAAACAATAAAATCTTCTTTATAAAGAGCCCCCAAAGAACCCCTAGTAGAACATAGTTAAATAAACCACTGGGTTGAGTCCAGAAATAGTGGCTAATACAGGAGCTATTAGAGTAGTCATACCAAGTCCAGGTTAGAGGAGGCCTTTAAAAAGGTCAACTTGCTTAACTGACCTCTGTACACCAAGCCCACTCAGTTGTCATCTAGAAAACTGAAGGACATCAGCTAATTGACAGATTAGGGGGACATATCCATACCTATTTGTATACACATATATCCTATTTCATGATACCAAAGCCTGTGCCAGAGTAGAAAAGTCTCAGCATCTGGTTATTATTTACATGGCTGCATATTAAGTACACATATTCTAAATAATAATCACAAAGAAACGTCTACATATGACCTTCTCAATGCAGTTTCAGAAAATGTGATTTTAAAACAGGATCTGAATAAAGCATCCAGACTTAAGACATTTCCCACATATAGCTCACACGTAGCTATAGTGGGAAAAAAAACTACCATCTCCTATGTAAACAGGTATAGCGGGAGAACTTGTTAATGTCAACTTGCCTCCAGCCACATGCTGCAGGAATCTCTTTGAAAATAGGGCTTTCATCAAATTTTCTCTCTTACCTTTTTTGTTTCACGATGTTTTCAGAAACACTTGCTATTTTTATTGAGATTTTTTTTCTTGGTAGAACCACTGTTGTTTAAATATAATAGAATGGGTGCTATATATTTAATGACATATGCTGCGTTTGAAAAATGTACATCTGTTAAAATAAATTATGGAAAGGA